ATCAGTTCTCGATTTCCAAACGGACGTTGAACTTAACGTTTCAAAAATAGAAAAACTTTGTCATCCGTCTATTTTCAAGCATATTTGCAATGAAATTTATAGTTTTTCCAAACAAATGACTAAAAAGAATAAAAATAAGATTATTGCGAAAATTAGCGACGAAGAAAAATACGCACTGAAATCCTTGAAGAATAATAAAGATATCATTATCTGTAAAGCTGATAAATATTAAAAGTGAGTGAAATAATAAATATAAATAATATTAGTGAATCGATGGCAACCAGGCAAGAAAATATAAACTAGGTCTTATCAAGTCGTTATATGTTCATTCTCTAAGACTCTGTTCCAACAAAAATTTACTTAGAGCGGAAAGAAATCATCTGTTTGAAATATTAAAGAAAAATGGTTATCCGAATCACATAATTCGTCGGGGTATTAGAAAAAGCCAAAGAAATTCATAAGAGACTAAACAATCTTCAACCTCATTCACCCAAGAAGAAAGAAATCTATTTCGTTTTTTCATATTATGGCTATGAAACAGTCGAGTTAGGACAAAAAATCAAAAAACTAGCACAGAAACTCTTGCCAAATTTGACGATAAACATAGCCTACCGAAAGTTTTCGACATTGAGAAATGTTCTACTACCCATTCAGAAAAGAAAGGATGAGACACGAAAAATGAAGAAACTTGTTTACTCAATAAACTGCAAAGATTGTGGTAAAAAATGTATTGGTGAAACAGATCGAGAAAAACTACTAGAATGGCGGAGCATAAAGCTGATATTCGTAAAGATAAAGCTACTTCTCAAATTGCCCAACATTGTAATGAAAACGGATATTCTATGGACTTTAGCAATTGTGAAGTTTTAGCACTAGAATCTCTTTAGAAAAGAAGAGTAATAAAAGAAAGTCTTCTCACACATTTCTCTCAAGAAAAAGCATTGAATGAAGTTAAGTATAAATTAAAAGTCTTTGACTGAAACAATGTTCTTCGAACAAAAAAGAAGCTTCGTTTTACCTTTTCTGTTAAATTGTAGAATAACGTAGAAAATTCCTGTTTTTACGTTTACTACTATATATATACTTCTTTCTTTCTTTTGACACTTTGTAACAATCTTTATTGTCTGATGATGGCAAGAGAACTTGTCGAAATATCACAATAAAATAAATTTGATTAAAGTATTAATCATATTCTGTGCAGTTTTGTACTTTCTCTACAATTTAATTCGATTTTCAACTGCTCTCTGTTATTTGAGTGAATAGTTAAAATGGTTTGCACATGTATCACCTAAGTTTACTTATCTATTTTCAATGAATAATACAAAACAGATTACAAAAAATAGTTCCATTCTCGATGACAGTGGACTTCTGTTTTCTGAACTTCAGTTGTTGAAATTAAAAGTTTTAAACTGTATCGATACGAATGAAGCGTGTGAAATGAATGAAAAGAAACAATGGATATCGGCTAACATAATTGGTTTGTAAATATTTGTTAACAGTTATGGTATCCACTGCTACTAACGAACGATCCTTTTAAAAATTAAAAATTATCAAAAATTATCTTAGGGCAACAATGTGGAGTGAAAGATTATTTCATTTAATGTTATGAGCTATCGAGAAGGATAAATTAAACCAATTTGATTTAGCTGCTTCAGCTAGTCATTGGGTAAAATGAAAGCAAGGAAAATTGAACTTCCACTGTGTCAACAGTAAAATTGTCATTACACGTTGCTTTTAAATTCTTTTCTTTGTCATTTAGTTATAAATCTGGACTAATGAACATGCAGTAATAGAAAGTCAAAAACATATTATACAGTGGCAACCATTTGGCAAAAACTCAAAACAGCGCTCTTTCAAAATTTAAGTAATGTTTTTCTAAATCAGCAGCGAGAAAGTGGAAATTCGGTCCGTAATTCTCAATTTTCTCCACCACAACGCAACTTTTATGTGGTACAAATATTCGAAATCAGCGTCACAAACTGAGTCGAATGATATATATTTCAAAATGTTCCACTGAGCGTCGTTTTCTGGTGAAAATCTTAGTAATTGTTCGACGTGAAAAATTCAGAACAAATTAAAGTAGTTGAAAAGGATAAAAAAATATATCCTTTGCCTTAGATTGTGCCGCTGGTTCCGAATATGATATTTTTACAGCAGGAAAATTGCGTTGTGGTGGAGAAAATTACGGGCTGAATTTTCACTTTTTCGCTGCTAATTTACAGAAAATAAATTTTCTCAGTGACAAAGCAAAATGGAAAAAAAAGCGATGCATACCTGTAATGTTCGTTGAATGGCGGTTCTAATGAATGCAAAAATCGGCTTCATCTCTTCACAAACAAAAACAGATAGGTTTACAAAAGAGGCATCTACCATTTTCAATGGTCTAATCTCAAAGCCAGATTCATCCGAATTTTGAGTTTGAATTCAATTAAACATCGTTTTCAGTTTTTAATGCTGAATTCAAAAAATATTGCTTCAAAAGTTGAAAGGAACTCTGAACGGAAAAAATTGAGTTTTTTGAAAACTAACGGCTATTCGAAACAATGTGTTCTTCAAATTTTTCGACTGGAAATAATTTTTTCGAAAGTTAAATAAACACTTTTTCTTACTCAGTTCACCGTGGTCCATCTAATCATGTATAAATTAATCAAGAAAAGTTTTTTAGTGAAAGCTCGAATTTCTGACGCTTTACAATTTTTGCATTCTAACAGAAGACAAAGCCATTTTGTAGCATTACATGTCCGTTTTGTTTTTTTATCTGTCGTAACTTAATCATCTAGTTGCCATTTTAGATTAGTTTGTAGCTTTATTGCAATAATTTTTCGAAAAAGAGCAAAAAATGGAGGCCGTTAGTTGGACAAGCCGTCCTTCTAAAAACTCCATTTCCAAACAAAAGAACACTTACGCGCAAAATTAAATGAGGACCATTCCACGTAACGGTTGCCTTTCATATGTAAGTTTTGAAAAGAAGTTGTTTTTATTTGGGTTTTTCTCCTACTTGTTGCAATAGTTTTTAAGACTTGAGCACATGATTAAATAGAGAAACATATTGAGATCGCAATAAAATCATCTTATTTTAACTCTCGCTCATTCTCGAGAGGAAAAATAGAACTGCGAAAACATAGTTATTTGTAAAGTGCGTGATTCCGTAACGAAAGAGAAAAGAGCACATGTGTAGGGTTTGAACTGTCAACTTGCGTAAAATTAATTTTAAGAATTATTTGCGAATTGATCAGTATTGTGTTTGGTCTATTCGGATATTTACGAATTTGTATAATGCGTTAAACAGCCTGTTATAACGTGAAAAACGCATTATAAATGCGCTATAAATGCATTATTTGATAAAAAACTAAGACCTAATTCAAAAATCGACGCCGGTCAGACGATGTAGTTTCTTTTCCTCTTTTAAACAAAAAAAGAATAAACTGTGTATGACAAACCCCTGCTGAAAATCTTGGGAAATACTTCAGGTGTAACTCCTATATAGAAAAAACGCTGTATGAAATACTCAATTTTAGAAGTTCTAGGAAAATGCTTGTAACTTTTTGATGCAAGGTCATACAGAGTTGTACGAGGTCTTATTTTGATCAAAAACGTTTGCTCTACAAATCTGTGTGTTTAAAAAGATTTTAATTGCATTAGTATCCAGGAAAAATCTATCATTTCAAGATCCGGTTTTCGAGGCTCCTAGAAAACTTGCTCAAAATCCGCTAAAAACTACTGTTGTAACCGAAAGTGATACGGATTCTGAAAGGAGATACTGCAGGCTAGCTTCTCATGTGCTTATCTCAAAACCGATGTTATGACCAAAAATCATCTTTTCTCAGACGAGGAGGGCTCTTAAAGGTAATGCGTGCTATAATATAAAAAACTGTTCAATACTCGATTAATAAAGAAACATCTATAACATATTTGAATGCTCAATCATGAATTCAGTTCTCAGTATGAAACATTTATTGTAATTTTGCTTTAAATTTTTCTTGTTTTAAATATCATCTACGACGAACAGTATCAGAACTTCTGATACTGAGACTTCTTTCCGGGAAAGAAGTCTCAACATTCTACAGCTGCTATACAAGTAATCGTTTAACTCGTGTAACTGAGAAGCACTTTATTTGAATGCTTCAATGCTAAATGAAGTTCTTGTTTTAATAGTACGTTTATTAAGAAAGATTCCATATAAATTACTAAAAAATGACGACTACTAGAAAAACCACTTTTGCTCTCTCTCTCTCTATATATGAAGATACAGACACAGAACAAATACCGCGTGTTCGTTACTTCTTCTTTTGTAGTATTGCACTTGCACTGTTGGAAGGTTCAGAAGCGCGACGATCTTGTTCACGTAGCATTACTAAAGCCATTTCTTGTGTATGTGTTAAACTTGTTCTGGGTAAATCACGAGTCCATGAAACACGATAACCAGCAGTATTCGAATTAGGTGATAATGTACCAGGGTCAAGCGTGGCTTGCCACGAGCGTGTTGAAGAACCAGGACCAACATAGGCTGAACGCATGTTTATTAGTGAAAATAATAACCAGAGAGAAAGCGTGTAGATTACTAGTGTAGAGAGTATTGATAGATATAACTGTCGAAAAGAAATATAGTCAGTAACGGAAAGAACAGAAATTGTATCATGCATGTATGGAAAGAAAAAGAGCTTTTATTTTCAACGAAAAAGAAGAAAGTAGTATGTCATTACACTATTGATACTAGAAAAAATGAGACGATATTTGTTTCCTACCAATATTACAGGTGTTAATCATCGTATAATATTGGTGCCAAATACGCAAAAACATAATGTATGACTAAAAATAGCATTGATCGATATACAACTATATATATATATTTATATACGAATCTTATAGGATATCTGCAAGAATCTTGTAGTAATCTTATGGATTTTTTTGGAATTGCGTAGAGTATTGATAAGGATCTTATATAAGAAACTCGTAAGATTCATACAAGAATTTATAGAATTCCTATTTACGATATTTGTAAGTCAAGTACTCTATCTATATTCTACTTTCTTGCTATAATCTGCTGCTTCATACGGGAATAAAATAATTTTCTTTCAATTTATTTTGCTTTTCTATAATAAAACCTTAGTCACAAATGGGTAGTCTAAAGACGCGCCCTCATTGTCTACTGCTTGTAGACCGTATATACTTTTCGAAATTTATGAAGACTCAATCTAAAGGCCAACGAATAAAAAGTCGTTCAGAAAGTGAAAAATAAAATTGGAAAGGAATTGCGCAGCGACATTATGTGAGAAAGGATCAAAATACAGGTTTCGAAGTTAGTTTTAATTTATGAACTTTAAAAAATGCTTCCTTTACAAGTTAAGCACTAGTACCGTGTAACTTTTGATACTAACTGAACGTTATAGAGGGTCTCAAGTAGATACCACGTCGATAATGGTTGACCTCCCTTAGATTCCATTGTTTTTGGTTGGCTTTTCATACTCAGCTGACTGCACAGTGCATAGAAGCTTAAATTCTGAACGAAAAGTTTGATCAACAAAATATTTTAGAAACAGGTTCTGTACTTTAAGTATTCTCTAGTGAGCCTAATGTCGCCAAATTTTAAATTTTGGATTGAGAAGGACAGGTTTATTATACGATGGATTTAACCGTTGGCCGTGAGACTGACTATAGAAAGAGAATAAAGTTGGAAAAATACAGTTATGAGAGGAGAATGCAGAACACGACATCTCATTCAATCGCATAGACTCCTCTTTCAAATCGATTTCTAGCAAAACGTATCATTTCACTGTAATAAGTGTAAGGTAAATTAACATTATCTTCGGTTATTTTTTCATTATAATCTAAGCTAATACTACCCACTTTGCCTTTTTGGCAGTTTTATTCTTTGTATTAATGTTAATCTGCTCCATCGACTCTTCTACTGTGAAAGTCAGTCTGAAAGAACACCTTGCTTTAATGTTAATTCAAACTAAATTCTTTATAATTTTCGTTTAGTGTGAACTCACATTAAAATATAGATATTCGCCTATGCTGACATTGAAGATTGGTTTCTATTTACATTAGAGCGAAAATATGTGCCTCCCAGACACGTGTGAATTTACCTTTTAAGGAAAGTATAGATGAACGATACAATGATTTTTAAGGATTATCTTTTCCTCTCTGATTTCGGTCTCTTTTTCATATGTAGTAATGCTAATGTGCTCGATCGCCATTTACTTTTTAAAAGTCAGTGCGGATAAAGAGAGAGTACAGAGAGACACAGATAAATTCACATTCGAATTAGAGATTCGTATATAATTAAATTAGGGTAAAAACATACACGTGTAAATTCACACTAAGGAATCTCCCAGGCAGACATTTTTTTAGACCAAACGCACAGCTAAACGCGTTTTTTTGCACTAAAAACGTGTCTGAACGCGTTTGGACGCGTTACTCGGTGATAAATGCGTTTAAATACGTTAGAATGAAACGCATTTGGCTGCGTCAGAAACTGACGCGCTAAACCGCTGTGAAAATAAACTCATTTTGCCGCGTTCAAATGACTAACACGTTCGCACACATTCAAGTTAAGCGCGTTTGGACGCGTTAATGTCTCCCTAACCCATTTGAACGCGACAGAAACAAATGCGTTTAGGTGCATTTACTAACTAACGCATTTCGCATCATAATTCGATACCTTTAACGCAACTGAACGCGTCTGGCAGCATTTCGTAGATGCTGCTGCTGAACGCGTTATAATCTAACGCGGTTCACCGGATTTAAAGCATATTCCTTCGCAGTATAGCGAAAAGAAGGTAGATAACCAAAGGAAGCAGGACCATAAGGCAGATCAAGAGGATCAGAGAAAACGCAACTTAGTGGAATTTACTTAGTGCAAGACCTCAAGCACCTTCTGTTTTCACATGCAGTAGCGATCAAAAGTCTCGCCCCACTTTTGTGTTTTGCTTATTGTATGAAAAATAAACAACATTAATTCAATATAATTATATGCGTATATAGCTGAAGGGTAGTACAACACCTAGATATACAATGTATAAATACGATGAAAGGAAGCTATCTTTTTATTTAAAAAAATTTTGCACATGAATGTGATCTATGATATTTTTATGCTAAATATTGATGTTGGCTTGGTTTAGGGCAATCATGATAGACATTGACTCCACGCATGAACCCTCAATGATGATAATAATTATTAATATGTTGTTTGGATATTGCATAATATGAATTGATCATTGCTATTTTAATGTTACTTTCTGATAATGGTGAATGTTGTCGAACTTTGTTTTTAAATTCAGAAAAAAATGAATTATCAAAAGGACTAATTCTTTTTGCAGAGTTTGTTGGTAGTAGTTGAATATCTATTATTTGCTCACATTGTCTTCGACGAAATATGTCTAAGGTTTTTTGTTTACTATGAATACGTGCTTTATCCATAAATAAATATATGGGATATATGTCAAGCGCACTAATAGCTTGAGTTAATATATCATTGATATAATCTAACAACATAAATTGTTTAATTCAACTACTCATCGTCAATTAAAAATATAATACAAACAAATGAAAGATAAAAAAATACTTTTGATGTGCAGAGCAATTTGTTCCTCATTGTTAAGTTATATTTTCTCCTGCGTTCCCAAGTTTGTTTATGCAGACTAGCCATATGCGTACTCATAGAGTTTGACCAGTAGAGTAAGAATACATATGAATATAAATAATAATCCTTGTCTTTATTTAGATACATAAAAACAAAAAAGTGGGGTGAGACTTTTGGCCGCTACTGTACTTCACTTTTCCATTGTTGAAATAGTGTATGTGAAATCCTTCTCCTAGTAGAATTTCTGGTCATTCAGTGTGTGACCAGTGTACATATAGATAGAGATGCACAAGACCTCGAAATTCGACTGTGTTCGAACTTTCGCAGTAACTCAGTAGTTACTTTTATTCGAGCCTCCCGGTCACCAGTTCGGAAAATAAAAAGTGATTTTAAGGCTATTTTACTTCAACCAAAATGAAAGATCTCTGTAAGCAAGAGTAAAAAACAGCTGCTCGAGACCTAGAATTAAGACGCAAGCAAGCAAACAGAAAAGCTTTTCAGTAAGCTATCGATGCTCGAAACGCATACTGATGATACAGTTCATCGTTCGAGCATCTTTAGCTCAACCTGTTCTATGCTTGCTTCTTAATTCTAGGTACCCATGCACAGTGAGCATTTCCTCATAGAGCAGGCGGCATTTTTTGCCGACATAGTTTTTTTGAATCCAAAAGCACTTTTTTATAGGTTTTCGCATACGGTATTTCCAGCAGTGTGGCAAAGGTGAGCCGTGGAAGGTTTTTCAGAGGTTTTTCAGGGGATTTCCAGAGACCCAGGCTTCAAAAACCCCTTAGAAAAAGTTTGCAATTGTTTTAAAGCAAAGTTTCAGACTCGCCGTAACCTGAAACCTATAAAT